ACGATTTAGTGCTAGGGCCTGACATATCGCATAATGTGGCACTATTGGGGGGGGTGGCACTGCGAAAAGAGTCGTCCGTAAAGGTCTTAAAGGTCACTTTTCAGCAATGAATCTTTACGCGTTGTATCAGACACAATATCCACGTCCAGTACTCATTAATGAGCGTCTGCCTTGAAAAGTCCTTTCCTGACTGCGCCTTTGACGAAAGGAAAGCCTTCTTGGTCTTTCTTAAATGTACAGAGGCCTCTGTAACATCACATTGATATGCTAATTCTTCCAACTCGCAGAATATAGCCGATACAACCAGAGAACTCGGGATATTTTTCACATCTCTGCAATCTTCATTCATGTCATCTGTATCCGTCAAATGACTATTGGGACCAGTAATAAATGTGCGCGCCAAGTCAAATGAATCATTTGCCATTCCGTCTACAACATTGGGCTCCTCCTCCGCACATAACCAACTCTCAGCGTCTCCAATCGTAATGTTCTCAACTCCATAGGTTGAAAGTTCGTCGTCCTCTTTCACATTTAAAGATAAGTTCTTCATCATTTCCATTATGTTTCTTAAAACTTCTTTATCTGCCGATACACGACTACCATGCATCTTTCCGTACTGACTTGTGAGGTCAGCCTGCATCTCCAATGGCAGAATACCTGCTTTGACCCAACACCTGGCAATTGTTTGTTAGCTGACAGTTTCCCAAGTCATGTGGACCATTTCGGAAACATCAAGCATGTGAGGATCGTATCCATCCCTCATGCCTCTCGTTCCAGCGGTCTTTTTTTATTTATATTGCGCTTCGTGGCTCGGTCCTCAATGTCGCGAACAATTTCCCGCAACATGTGATGGCGATAACGTATCTTCCAGCATGAAATAATTCTTAGATCCATTGGCTGATGCACTGATGTGCAATTTGGTGGTAGTGTCATTATCGATACTTGGCCTCTTACATCTTCTAAATCCGTACCTTGCAGGCTGCAGTTGTCCATCAGGAGAAGAACGGGGTCAGATGTCTTAGACCTGACATATGGAAGAAAGACCTGACAAAACCATTTCTTAAAAGTAACAGCGTCGGACTACGCATTAGATTGACTAAAGTAGGGCACTGGAGGTTGGCCAAGCCGGAAGCATCTTAGGTTTTTGCTCTTACCAATAATTGCCATCGGTAGTTTCAACGATCCATCAACATTAATGCAGACATATGCCCTGATGCGGACCTTCGCATTCATGCCATTAGTTCCTCGAACAGATTTTCTGTTCTCATGTGTGCAGATGTATGTCTTCCGAGCTAGTAATTTATAAAAAAGTCCCGTTTCATCCATGTTGAGAATTCTTTGAACCTTGAACTTGCTCATCAATCGGCGCAGTAGTACAATGCGCTCTCCGATGGCATTGAGGTTAACACAGCCAGCTTCGCCATGTAAGGAAACCGAACGAAGGGAATGACGCTGTACAAATTGACTTACACATCCACATGATGCTTTGAAAATATCCAGCGCATGATGCTCGGCTGCGCACATCGACTGCTCTCCCTTTAAAAGTTCGTCCTGAATCAGCAATGCCTTTGCCTGAATAACGCTTTGAGTAACCGGCATCTTGAGTGAACGGGAAATTGTGATAAATTCAAGAAGCAACTTTTCGAGCAACGGAAGGGCACATGCTTTGACGGATTTGCTGTTTAGAGAGAAGTTTGAAGTAATTGCCGTTTCCATGGTACGGTTGATATTTGATCGAATGTTTGTTACAGTTCGGCGAGAGATCTGGTACTTTTCATGATGTGATTACCGAGTGTCCCTGTTTGCATTTGTCTCGCGATGTCTGCATTTTGATTGACTGTGAGGCGCGTTGGCCGCGTTTCAGGCTTGGGCTGTGACGATATTTTTGCTGTCATGTCCATTTGAGTCAGAAGGGGGGCGATCAGGAAAGGTGATCAATACGAGGGTTGATTGGGCGATGGGTGGAGGTCGCCAGTCTCAGGGCCTCCTTTAAGACAGCATGGACGGGCATGTTTGGACATGTATGGACGTCGGCCTGCACCTGATTGGTCTATATAATACTTTTCTTAACAGTATGATGGCGCACACAATGTTAAAATAACAGCTTCTATCATTACTAACGTGCCATGCAAAACAAAAATCATTGGCTATCGCTACTGGATAAGTGTGAATGAAATCAATCTAGATCCAATTTTGCACATATCAAAATCCAGTTTAATCAGTGACGCGCGGTCACGCGATTTTGAACACGCCATTTTGCCGCGTCTACATTCCCCAGCTCCTCCCCGCCCCGCCCCGCACAGCTGGCCGTCATCCCCTCACCCGCCTTCCTCCTCTCCTTTCTCCGCGCCCTGCCGCTCTGCCTCTCGCAAGGCGCGCCGCGGCTGCGCGTGCGGCGCGGCTTCGGCGCTTCGCCCGCGTGCGCCGCCATGCGCGAATGAAGCAGAAGGGGTCTGGTGAGCTGCTTGCGGAGCAGAGTTGCAAGGGGGGCTTCGGGTTCCTGGCGGCGTGCAAGCGCGGGCGGGGACACGAGATGATGGCGCTGACGCGTGGAAGTGCGTCGCTGGCGCGGGCGCAGCGGCGGCACCGGCCGTAAGCGCGGGCGTTGCGAACGGTCAACGTGGTGAACGGGCGCGTGCTGGATGGACGGTTTCAGAACAACTACCCGGCGTGCGCTCTGACGTACGAGGAGTGAGTGTGCAGCACGCCGTGCGCCACGACGGAGAGGGGTGGTGAGCTGACGTTGGACGTGCAGGACCCGATCACCGGGATAACGTTGATGGCAGACCGGGCGACGGTGTGGCTCGGCGACCGGTACAGGAGCTGGGTGTTCTTGCTCAACCTCGCGCTCAAGCGGACAGTGCGGGCCAGGCGGTTGAAGGTGAGCGCGGGGCGGTGCAGGTTCGGAGACAGGTTTAGAGGGGGTTGTAGTGCAGTGGACACACTCGCCAACGAGGGCGTAAATCTCGCTATGAGGGAAAGCGGTATGTCCAGTCACCACCAAGGTGTTCGGGACCCTCTGTCCGTGGTAGCTCAGAGGTAACGCGAGAATGGCGGGTAGAGTCGCGGTCAGCGCGTGAAGGGGTACTCGAGATCGAGTAACTAGAAGGAATGGGGGTGGCGGTCGCGTCGCGGACCGCTATCGACAGCGTCGAAGAAGAACAAAAAAAGAAGGGAGAAGAAAGAAGGAAGGAGAAGTGTAGCGTAGAAACGTAGAAAATAGGGAAAGAAGTAAAGGAAAACAAGAAAAAGGGTGACGACGAAGGGTGCAGGTACCAGACTTCGCCAACTAGATAGGAACCGTAGAGGATCCTACCAGAGATGGGGTCCGATCACCTGATGCCTCTTTACTGTAGCGCCTTCCGACACCCGACCTATATAGGCCGAGCGCCGTCGTCGGCGTCGGTTACTAAATGGGTAATTAATAATTAATTATCGTCATTAGAATTGCCACTTGGCATTGGACGCTAATTAGCGTAGAAACTTGTGGGCACCACGTATGTATACGTGTCGTACACGTGTTGTACACGTATCATATACGTGTCATACACGTGTGTCCACGTGTGTCCACGTGTGGCCACGTATGGTACACGTGGGGTACCTTCCCAAGTGTGCGCGCACAGTACACGTGTGGTGCGCTTATCATACACGTGTGGTATCATCCAAAGTGTACGCGTACACTTTGGATGAGTACACGTGTCATAGACGAGAGCGCACACCATACACGTGTGGGCTCATCCAAAGTGTACGCGTACACTTTGCATGAGCACACGTGTGATACACGTGTCAAAGGCGGGGAACGCGGCCCCGCGACGGCGGTGACCAGCGATAAGGGCGCAAAGTCACTGCACTACACTTGCTGCATGGATATGGGATCAATCATTACGTCAACTAGGCGCAGCTAGGGGGCGGTTTGCAAGCGGTTGCGGGACGAGGAGGTGGTCGTGGGGTGGATGGTGGGGAGAGGTATTTTATTTTGGAGCAATGGTTGGGCATCGGGTTTACTGTACTCGGTGTGGGATGAGTTGTGAGTTGGTTTAGATGGACAGTGGATGTTAGTTAGATGGTTGTCGGTGAGGGTGATGCGGAGTTGGGCTTGCAGATGTAAGGTTTGTAAAAGGTGAACGGAAGTGAATGCGGAGCGCCAGAAACCCGAAGTGCCCCTTGCAACTCTGCTCCGCAAGCAGCTCACCAGACCCATTCTGCTTCATTCGCGCATGGCGGCGCACGCGGGCGAAGCGCCGAAGCCGCGCCGCCCGCGCAGCCGCGGCGCGCCTTGCGAGAGGCAGAGCGGCAGGGCGCGGAGAAAGGAGAGGAGGAAGGCGGGTGAGGGGATGACGGCGAGCTGTGCGGGGCGGGGCGGGGAGGGGCTGGGGAATGTAGACGCGGCAAAATGGCGTGTTCAAAATCGCGTGACCGCGCGTCACTGATTAAACTGGATTTTGATATGTGCAAAATTGGATCTAGATTGATTTCATTCACACTTATCCAGTAGCGATAGCCAATGATTTTTGTTTTGCATGGCACGTTAGTAATGATAGAAGCTGTTATTTTAACATTGTGTGCGCCATCATACTGTTAAGAAAAGTATTATATAGACCAATCAGGTGCAGGCCGACGTCCATACATGTCCAAACATGCCCGTCCATGCTGTCTTAAAGGATGCCCTCAACGAAAACGTGAATGTGGAAGAATATGAATCCGGGCGAGTGCGCGGCGTCGCATTGCGCTCGACCTAGAATTGAACTTCACGTGTCGTGTTATGATAAGCCGTGACAACCGGGTTTTGGTGGCACTAAACCGAGGGAGGCACTGTCAAAGAGGGCACTAAATCGTGACCCCCCCTGTATCGGAATTGAAACGGCCTCATGTTTTAGATATTTTTCGGCATCCCCCGGGCCCGTTGTCGCAAATCTGTTGCAAATCTGTTGCAATTATAGTGGAGTCACAATTATCGGGGATTTGAATCACCGAGAGTACAGTAGACTACACTGGACGGATTATACGGGCAATGCAACGGAGGCGATTTTAGTCTTGCACGGTAAGTATCCTCAAACAGCAAAATTCTCGATGCAACGCCACAAGCCAACCCAAAGCATCTGACGATACAGTCACAGTAATATCACTAGATAATACGTAATCTATGCAGTATGGGTAAAGAACAAATATGACCTTTCAGCCCTGCTTCAGATACATTCCGCCATCACTTCATTACGTTCACATACGACGCATAAAGCGAAATTTGCTCTAACAGAGTGCTCAAAAAGACCATCAAATCATAATAGCAACAACTACAAAGCTCAGAGATACAATGGATTTCTCGTCTTCGCCCCCTTGGGATAGAATTCAGAAAAAAATTGCGGAAGCATCTTGACCGATGTTTCAGCGTCGTACTTTCGGGTGAAAATAAAGTGCTGCTGTAGCGTCGCTATGGAACGAGCCTCTTCCTCCGGGCGGTTCAAGACTTCATCAGCAAATCTTTCCGCAACTTCTTTTGAAGCATTCTCGTAAAAGCTAAGAAACAAGGAGCACATGTGCTTGTGGTTTGGATGTACAAACTCAAACCGTCGGTCTATCCGCCCACCGCGGATAAGCGCTGGATCCAGCTTTTCTATATGATTTGTTGTGTAGATGGTGAGGATCCCATCGGTAGAGACCAAGCCATCCATGCCGTTTAGCATGCCTGAAAATGTCAGTGCAGGTGAGACCTCACTCTTTCGATCCTCATTGAACAGTACATCAACATCCTCCATAACGAGCAATGCCCTCCGCGGAAGCGAAGACAGAGCGTCCTGAAGTACCTGGTTGCTGAAATCAGAAGCAGTGAAACTGAGAAAGCATGCGTTCAAGCGGAATAAGCCAGCAAGCATACGAATAGTGGATGTCTTTCCACATCCCGGGGGGCCATGGAACAGATAACTGCGTCTGTGAGGTAAGCCGTGTGTCTCGTACCACATCTTTGTGTCCTTCGCGACAAAATCTCTGATATCCTTCACAATCGCCTCAAGTTGGCCATCCGGCAAAATGACACTCTTCGGCGATCGGGAACGCTTGTAGCCCTGATTACACCAATCTCCTTGCCCCCCGTGTGTCTTGTACCGAAAAAGAGTGAACCTTCCTGGCCTCGGCGTCATGTTCGCCTGTTCGCGGTCACTTCGCCACTTAAGCGCCACAGCGCAGAGCTCCTGCATGGCCTTTGAGTCGTAGCCGCCCAGCACGACGGAGCGGAATACCTCCACGGCATAACTCTTGGAGACCGGTAAACCATAGCCCCAGTGGTTGATGAAGACAATGTGGTCACCCACTTTGACTTTAGCAAGTCCAAGCCCCATTTGGTAACGCTGCACGGGTGGCTCGACCTTCTTTTTGAGAGTTCCGAGGCTAGTATAGGAAGCCAACAAGGAAGCAAACCTCTCTCTTGCTTCGTCCGCACCGACATCTTCACTCTCAAAAAAGGCATGCTCTGATTCATCCTCCGAATCTGAATCTGAATCAGAGTCCGTAGCCTCCAAAGGATCATAGCGGTCAACAGGGCAATTCCACAACGAAGTCAACTCACCAGGGCCTTCCCTCAGGGGGTAAGACACACCGTCGATGCCCTTTACGGTACGGACTTTGGTCCTAGTCTTTTTCGCCTTTCCCTCTGGCTCCGGGGACGGTTCATCGACCGGCTTTAGAGTCTCAAAGTCTGCGCCTACGTCCACGGCGAAGTGGGCGGCGTATTGAAGCACAGCATTGTATAAGGCTGTGGATCCGTTGGGGATCTCAAGTACGGACATCTTTTGATGATCCAGTCCACATCTCTCAGCGGCTTCTTTGGGGAAAAGCTTTTCTTTATCGAACGTAACAAGAGCAGCCGCCTCCTTTGCAGGGTTGGGTTTCGGGACTGCGACGACATCGTTGACGACATTGTTAAGGGTGTGTTCCGGCATGACTGAAAGGCAGAGTGCTTGGCAGTATGGAGTGGCACGGAAAGACGAGTGGCGATTGTTGTGGGAGAGTGAATCGGTGACAAAGGCGAAGGGATGTCGCGGGGGGGAGGAGCAGGAGGATGGTGTCAAGGGGGTGGAGCGAGGGGCATAAAGCGAAACAAGGGATTGCAGGTTTAGCACAGGAAATCTAGTGCATAACCAGGCTTCGGAAGGTGGAGAGCAAGCAGTGGATGTGGAAGCGAAAAGTGTGTGCACGGGACAGGCGATGCGCTGTTTATGTACTGATGGTGTTGTAGTCGGAGGCGGAGTGTGGAGGGACGGGACCTGAAAGCTTGTGTAATGATGCAGCGAGTTGAGGTTAGCAGACGTGCGTGATGCGGCTGCGGGGGGTGATGAGGAGGGTGTCCAGCGAATAAAAAGGGGAGTAGCGCAATACGTGGCTTGGAGCTGTAATGGAGGGCGCAGCAGGTTCGCATACCGTGCAGTCTCAGTACGAGCGCTCAACCTGCGAGGCCGCCGCGTCTGCGGGAGCACTGCGTCTGAGGGAACACTGCGTCTGCGCATCGAGTGCAGTGGCGACCTGTCGACAGTCGATATTGACATCCGACGTACATGGTACCGCGTATGTGCAAAGTGGATAGGGAGAGGCATCTGAGCAGATCACACAGATTGTGAACAGCGATGTCTCTTCGCGTGCGTCTGCTATGCAGTAAAGCATAGCTTTGCTTGCACGGTCTGGTGCTTGTGAGGCGAGATGCGAAAAACGCCACGTTTGCGAATACTGCACATATGCTGTACCGTTGTACTGTACAGTACGGTACAGTACCAAGGGTACAACCTTGATACGATATATTCCATCTTCGTGCTCTACAGCACCTTTATCTCTCGTCTCTGCTGCGTTGGGTCGCGCCGCCCGGATCGACAAGCCGTCCTGTGGACGACAATCAAGCAATCAGAACAGTTGGCATCCTCCAAATCTGGCGACAACTCCTCTTCTTTTTTTCCCTTTTTTTCATAATTCGGGGGCGTAGCTTGCGTGCCGCACTGTGCACGGAGCGGCACCTTTTGCATAAATATAAAAATATTAAAAAGCGGTGATCGCTGCTGCTGCGCTGGCACAGTTCCGCCTGTTCGGCAGGCAACAATCTGGCAACAATCTTGCTCCAATACTGTTCCAGTACAGCACAACATTTCAGTCTTGCCACTGCCGTACAGAAAGGTTTACCGTGTTGATCTGGTCCCGAGACAAGCAAAAGAGAGTTAGAGAAAGGTAAAGTTTACTCGGGCTACAAGACCGCGCTCACCCTTGTAGATCCCGGCTAACGCCGAGACCACGAAGTGGTCATTATTTTCGTCTGACACCGCCCCTCCATCGTCACACCCATTAGGCCCTGCCGCTGCTGTGGCGGCAGGGGCCGCCAGCGCCGGAACCTCGGCCGAACGCCGAGGGGCGAGCACCGTAGAGAAAGACTCTTGACTACTGTATGCTATATTCCGACAACCCGGACGGGCCGGACGCCCGAAGTCACAGGGCAGCCGTCGCCGCCGACCTACTGTAAATAATGCACCGGAGTGCCAGCTGTAGTTCAGTATCCTTAATATCCTTCCCTTCTCATACCTCAACCATCGCCACATCGACATCCTGTACAGTACACCATTTTGCATACAGTACCGCTTGTATCATACTGTACGGTTGAAAAAGGGCTACAACCGAGTATCGAAAATACTGTAGTCTACAGTACTGGGCGACTCCTGAAATTCTAAAATCGCAAATTGTGTTGACCAAATCGGGATTTTGTGACACACAAACGGCGCGTTGTGCACACACAACGCGCCGTTTTCTCGGACGGGCGACCCCATGCTAGGTTAAATGTGTATCGCACAAATGTCAAAATGTGCGCGCGTACAATCCAAATTTACTGTACACAGAGAAAGCGTCGGCCGCCGCCCGACCGACGAGACTCGACATCTACATCCTACCGAGCATGGCTCTGAATGAGAAGTAGCAATAGAATAGCCATTTGGTCATTCATGGTTCTGACGGTGGCTGCTCGGTGAAAACACCATCATGATTGAGCTTAGCTCACAGCACACACTGTAGATAGAGCTCCGACGGCGTCATCGCCGGCGTCCGGTGCCGTGCTCGTCGTTAGGAGCGACCCTGACACACCGTGCTCGTCGTTAGGAACGAGTTCAAAGCATGCGTACAGTAGGGGGACGCACATTATGTGCGCAAGCATTTCCGTGGTAAAACTCATTTTTTGTTCACAAAAAAGAAAAATATGACTCTGACACAAAAAATAATTTCCGGAGGCGCCCAGTGGGCGCCTCCGGAAATTATTTTTTACCGTACTTTACCGTACTTGAAGTCGCGCTCGCAATTTGGGTGTGGACTGTGTACACATCTTCTTTGCCGATCTTCGATCGCTGATCCAAAGCTAACATTGCCTTTCACAACTGTACGGTAGCAAGACAAACTTGCGCTTCCCCCACCCTCATCGTGGCTCTACCGTATGCATGACATGCATGTTCATCCCACCGCCATGCGTAAACCACACTGCCGTGCTCGCAACCCCTCCAATAACCAACCCTCTCATTCATCGCCCAAGCAACTGGTACAATGCCAAAGCCCCCGCCACGCTAACGTTAAGAGAATCCACCGGGTCATGCGCAAGCCCCATTCCGACCGCAACCTCCTCATCTCGCGACCCCTCTATCCGGATCAGCACATCGCAAGCGTTCCGCACCATTGTCCGCAGCCCTTGTCCCTCGCTGCCCATCACCACGAGCGTGGGTCCGTCCAGCCTCACGCTTTTCGCACTCAAAGCGTCGTTGCTCAACGCCGTCCCTATCACGCGCCATCCATTCTCCGACGCCCCCTTCAAGAAACGGGGCATGGACAAAACCCCCTGCACGCGCATCATCTCCAAAGCCCCCGCTGACGCCTTGGACACCACTGGCGACAGTCGGCACGAGTTGCGACGGCACGCAATCACCCCGTCCGCCCCGAGGAAATGCGCCGATCGCATCAATGCACCAGCGTTCTGCGGGTCCGTCACTTCGTCCAGGACAAGGTAGCATGGCGCAACGCCTCGCGAGTTCACGGTAGTCTCGTCCACTTTCGGTAGACCTTTCAGATCCTCGTACTCGAGCTTGGACGTCTGCAACACAAGGCCCTGGTGCGGCCGGTTTCGAGATAGCATGTTCATATCCCCCTTGTCCAAACGGATGATCTCAATCTGCTTTCCTGTCGCCATCGTCATGATTCTCTCGAACGCTGCATCATTGTCGACCTTTTTTGCCGGGCCCGCGGTGTCTCTGTTTCTCACCATCCCGCGACCCTCCTGTACATACAACGCCTCGAATCTCGTCCGTCGACCGGCCAAGAGCGCCAGTAGAACCGGGTTAACACCGTACACCAGGTCATCGTCTTCCGCATTTAGGGCCTTCTGAATAATTGAAGGTTCTTCCGTTTCCATATACCCTTGTCGGGGATTGCGGCGCCCGCCCCATTCCGTTTGAGCACTGTTTCGGCCCTCTCGTCGATGGCGATCCATATATTGCGATTCACGATTAAATCTGTCCCGGTCATCTCTTCGCCAGGAAGGCTGTTGATGCTCTCCATAATAGTCCCCCTCTCGTGCATTACGCTCGCCCTCTTCGTATCTACGCTCGCCCTCATCGTATGTACGTTCTCGTGGGTCTCGTCTCTGGTTTGGGTTTCGAGCTCTTGGGTTCTGCTCACGCCTGCGCTGGTCACCCTGGTCTCGACGGGGTGGGCCATTCTGAGGTTGAGACCCTCTGTAGGAACGATTGGGAACCTCGTCAAAATCCCATGCTCCTCTTCCACTTCCCGGAGGTCTCATCGAACATACCCATTTCAACGATGATGCTGGAAACTTTTGCCTGGTGCTCCGAATCACCGGACCTGTGCTGCTTACGAAAGCGTTAATATTCATCGCTAAGAAGCGTACAGTCAAGATGAAAGACAAGCCTTCTGGAGGTAATGAAATCCCGAAGCGAATCAAGGGCAGACCAGCAGAACCGGAATAGGTACGGACTTGTCGGAAATTGACGGTGTGCCGAGCCGACGAGGGATCAAATGGAATTGAGCTCAAAACACATGTTTTTCGGGTACAGTAGCTTTGAACGAATTCCTGTACTGAATTGTATGAGAAATGCTGTACCGAAGGGTACAGCGTCACAGTAGTATCCTTTCAGGGACAGTACAGTCCATACCGCTCCATAGTGCAGCACCGTGCCACGCGGTGAAATACTGCACTATTGGCGTATTGCACTATTTAAGGGAAGATCTCGCCAATTAATTTTTCAGCGTAGCTTTACTTGAAGAAATGTACGCTGCACACGTGTCGAAAGTCGTGACAAGCGGCTTTGACCTGCACTATTGATGATGTGCACTAATCACAACTGCACTATTGAGGAGGTGAGGAGGTACTCTCTGTAGTGACACTAAGAGAGTTCACAAACGAACTCGTGTCGAAAGGCTGTGCTCTTTTATCCGGCCCCACATCTCCAGCGATGGATATTTCGACAGCCAGTTGCCGGTATCGATGGCGGCTTGCCAGTCACGGAGACCTCAAAGACTTGTGCTACTGAGCGAGGGCATTACTTTCCGTCAGAAAGAGCTTCATAGGCTATTCACACAGTATTTTATTGTACATAATGAAAGGAAGCAGAGGTGATAATGCCGGCATCCACTGAACCATAGAATCCCGTGATGTGGTTCAAGGAAGGCATGGGGGCAAGCAATTCAGCATTAAAGTAACCGTTGTTCCGGTTCTCTCGTCAGTTCCTTCAATACTGGATTTGCTTTCCCCATGCCTTCCCACTTTGCAAAAACAAGCTCTGAAGTTGTGTGGTCATGGAGCAATGTGTTATTGTGCAGTAGTGTACAGTAAATGATGGACACCGGAAGGTATCCGATTCTTTTCAACTGGCGTCGCACGAGCAACTGAAGGAGAAACTTGACCAGTGGAAAATTCTGCCTGAAGCAACTTAATCTCTCGCAGATCTTGCGAAGATAGGGCGGCAGCAACTGGCTCGAGAGAAGGAATTTTTCCGTACTTGTGGTGTAGTCTTTGCATGGTCTTGCCGATTAGGGAAAAGGTCTCGAAGACACCTTCTTGCACAGTGCTCGTTGTCAGCGACGAGTTTTCGGATGCTGCCCTTGTTGCTACCCGAAGCAAAGTTGTGGAATATTCCAGTGCCAAACGAACCAGCAGGTTCCCAGTTAGAATATCAGTGCTTGTCCCAAGATTCATCAACGCTCCTTCAAGACCCCTCGCAAGCACGTTTAGCTCATCACAGATAGCTCGGCCTGACTGGTAGGGACCCTCCTGCCAATTCTGCGGAATGGCAGACGCATAAACCCGGGCCCTCTCAATCAGCTGTCGTTCGGCATCCCTAATTGGACCATCCAACTCCTTTCTGATATGGGTTGTGATCCTTGTTTCAAGTAGCGCTACCAAGCTTTCGCCATTCTTCTGTGCCGTAGAATCCAGTTTCAATTTGCGATGACGAGCCGCTTCTATCGTCGCCAGAATCGTCATGGGGTCAGCGTTTCTCATTCTCAGAAGTATAGGGGAAATAAATTTGGAATACAAATTGTCTGATTGCTCCACAACCCAAGCCACGAAAAAGGATGAGTTCTGTGATCCGGAGGACGAAATCCGTGAGTACACTGAGTACGTTTGTCTGAAAATCTGAAGAGTCCTGTTCAGCATGAGATTGACGGTGCGTGGCGTAACTTCGCTTCCAGGAGCTGTCAGCGCGCCTAACTCGGACACCAGTTCCACCTCTGCAGAATTCAAGACCACTTGCCGTGCATGTTCGGCCTTGCCAATACGAGCGAGCCATGGCGCAAACACCCCCGCCGTCTCTCCACCGCCATCTGTGCCGCAGCTTGTCATTTCAGATGCTAGCTGTTGGACCATGCCTTGAAATTTTGTGTAAGTTCTCGGGGACGCTGACGTCGTAACTCCATCCTCTTTCAGTTTTTCAATACTTGCAACGCAATCTTCAAATCGCTTTTCGGCGAGCAGAGCCTCGATGTCCCAGACGCGTTCTGTCCATTGAAGTTCCAGAAAAACCCGCTCCGCCTCTGCTTTTCTCGTCGTCATTTCTTGCGAGGCTGCATAATTTGAAGAATACAACAGCGGCTCAAACTGTGGGTCACGGGTCAAAGGAAGGCCTGCCGAAACCATTCTAGCCTGTTCGACACTCTTTTCGACATCAGCAAGTACCGTGTCCAACTCGGAGATCTGCTGGCTCACAATAGAGGCCAGTTGCTGTGCAGCGGGAACACTCCTCTCCTTAACGGCAGCCTCCGACAGGGAGATTGCCTTAAGAATATTTCGCTCATGAGGAGACTGAAAATCATTGTCGGGGTCATACGTCCTCTTCCACAATGAGCTCCTTCGGCGCAGGGTGGATGAAGAGCTGAAAGAAGCCGGAGGCGAATGGTCCGAAGATGAGCGTGCGACTGAGTCAAGTGTGGGGTTCGCATTGCGCAAGAAGCCATCTTCGCCCTCTCGATGGCCTGGCGGGGGCCTCGGTCTATCCTCCCTCTGCTCACCTTGCGTGATATCAATCGGGAAGTCGTCATTCAAAAACGGATCACGAGAAGCATGTGTGGACGGCAAGGACGAGAATGAGTCATCGTTGCGCTGGCGCAAGGTGTCGATAGATTGGTCTGGGGGCTTGGCATCGCTGACTTTGTTGGAAGCGAGAAACCTATCCTTGGAGGAGCGACCCCTTTCCGGAGTGGCACGGCCTCTTTGCAATGAGCGGAGGGCCTTTGCTGAAAACAAACCCCGAAAGGGGCGCTGGCGGTTTGCCGAGTCGAGAGAGCGATTTCGAAAGACGCGGGGCTGCTTGTGAGCGTTGGTATCATCGATACTTCGTTGCTTGCCAACAAACGGGCTATGATGCGACGGTATGGCTTGGATCTGGGTCTCATGCATCACCGGACTTGACGAGCGCGGCGGGATGGCAGGCGATGGTAGGGGGAGGCCGGGGGAGGGGTGCGGGGTAGCTGATAGGGGACGCACGACGGCGGGAGATGGGGAGGGAATGGTGGCATCGGGGGGGGCGGAATGACGCAGAGCGCGCTTCAATTGGGGCTCAATTAGCTTGGGGGTGGGGGGCAGGACAGCGGAGCGTTCATTGATGGGGTTGTGGCGACGGGCGGAGGCGGTAGAGGAAGAGAGGGGGTTGTGGGGGGCCGCGAAATCTTGTGGGAGGATGGGAAGCGGGGGGGTGGGTTGACGGCGGAGGCGGCGCCTGGCCAAGCGCTGTCTCACACTGCGTAGCATGAGAGCGGAAGCTGAGGTTTGGGAGGGGGGCGGGATGCCCGAGAGGAGGAGGCGAGGCGGTGATGGACCGGGGACGGGGTCATGGAGGGGGGGAGGGATAAGGGGATTAGAAGGACGCGGAGTTGAGGAGGGGTGGGGAACAAGGAGCACTGAAGCGGCGCCAACCGGACATACGTACAGTTGCAGTTGACCAGCATTCGCGCAGACGTCAAAATTTGGCGGAAACCGCCACAAAATTGCTAAAAAAAGGACAACGCCATACAGACAAGGCGTACTCCGGACAAAACGAGTTCCAGTTCCGCCTGGGTGGGCTGTCCGTCTTTTCATCACCGTTAATCTGTTGTCTATCATAAAAGCTTTGAGTCCACCGTCTGCACAACGCAAGTCCCCTGTTTGTTTAAAAACTTTCAGTGCGTCACTGCTCCCTTACTCGCGGATGACACAAGCTGTCGGTACTTCTTCAGCACGCCGCGTGGATTCGACTTAACGTACGGAGTCCATGACTGCCTCCGACTTTCCATCTCCGCCTCGCCAACTTCAACATTTAACAACCTCTTGTCCACGTCCAATACCACAATGTCTCCCTCTTCCACCAACCCAATCGGTCCCCCAACAGCAGCTTCCGGTGCGATGTGGCCGACCACAATCCCATGAGTCCCACCAGAGAATCTTCCATCCGTAATCAACGCTACCGTCTTTCCAAGTCCTGCCCCCATAATCGCCGATGACGGTGACAGCATTTCCCGCATCCCAGGACCCCCTTTTGGTCCTTCCTGACGGATCACCACCACATCATTTTCCACGATCTGTCCCGTAAGAATGGCATCCATCGCCATCTCCTCAGACTCAAACACACGAGCCGGTCCGCGATGTTGCGAGATTTCCTTCCCAGAGAGCTTGATCACGGCTCCATCAGGAGCCAAGTTTCCTCGCATGACCACTAAATGCTTCCCTGGCGGTGCATACGGATTTTCTAGGTGCCGAATGATCGTTTGTCCACTCGGTAGCCCAGACGGAATTTCGGCCAGGTTCTCTGCCATCGTCTTGCCAGTCACTGTCATACAATCACCGTGAAGCATTCCTTGGTCCAAAAGATATTTCATCACCAGAGGTATGCCCCCAATCTTTTCTAGATCGGCCATCACATACGTCCCAGATGGTTTAAAATCCCCTATCAACGGAACCCGGTCCCCAATTCGATTGAAGTCGTCAATCGTTAAGTCCACTTCTGCCTCATGAGCCAGAGCTAAACAGTGCAGTACCGCGTTCGTACTACCCCCCAGCGCCATACACACAGTGATACCATTCTCAAATGCCTTTTTCGTGCAGATTTGTCTTGACGTGATCCCGCGTTCCATACAAGTGAAAAGTGCTTCGACAGACCTCTTGCAGTCTTCTAGTTTGTCTACACTCAGCTGATTGTTCACGTCGACAGCCGTGTGAGCAGCTGAGTATGGGACAGACATGCCCATGGCTTCGATAATCGATGACATCGTGTTGGCCGTAAACATCCCTCCGCATGCACCGCTACCCGGGCAAGAGTTGCGCTCGACGCGGCCAAGCTCCTTATCATCAATCTTCCCAGCACCTCTGGCGCCAATTGCTTCAAACGAAGAAATAACGGTCAAGTCCTTGCCATCTAAATGACCGGGGAGAATACTTCCGCCGTAAAGCATGACCCCAATTGAGTCATTCCGAAGGATAGGCATTAGTGCACCAGGAATGCTCTTGTCACAACCACCTAGAGTGATCATACCATCTGCGAGGTACCCTTCGTGCATAGTCTCAATACAATCGGCGATGAGATCCCTAGACACAAGTGAGTACCTCATACCCAATGTGCCCATCGTTTCTCCGTCGCTAATGACTGGGGTACCAAACACAAACGCCTTTCCCCCGATGGACTCAACCTCCTTTTGTAAGGCTTCGCCAAGCTCATTCATGTGTGCGTTACACGGTGTGGCATTCGTATGAGTACATGCGAGGGTGATAATCGGCTTACCAAAGTCCTCGTCTTGAAAGTCCACGGCGCGAAGCATTGCACGTGTTGCCGTCCGTTTGTTCCATTCGGGAGTGCCTGGTTGATCCCCAACCAAGCCTGAGGAGCGATCACGTAGGTGCGACGATGTTGACACCTCCGCGGCCGTCATCTTCACAGCACGTACGCAATGTGTGGTTCCGCGTGAGGCCCGATTCGAGAGCAACTGATTTTTGTAAACATTCACAAACGACGTGCGATGTATAAGCGGCCCCGCGGCAACAAAAGCGATCGATTCCATCGCGAGTAAACGGTAAAGTCAAGTCGGTGCGTCCCCGCGAAGATCAAAGACTTGCCTTTTGCGCCGGATTCCGAGGAAAAGTGTTTTGTGAGGCTGGAAAGGGTACCGATAAGGGCAGATTTACTTGTGAAGCGGAGAATGGATTTGGTTTTGCGAAAAGACGCACGTTGTTCCGGCCGGAGATTGAGGGGTGGGGACTCAAAATCGCCCGCCGAGATTGTCTTGTGTCTTGTTGGATAGAGAAGTAGTGAGCACTGTACTGTGCTGATGAAATGGATCAGGTTCAACGTGTCCATTCAGACCTCAATTGGGGACATTGGCCACGTGTTCCAGTAACACGTGTCACAACGATGACTTCATGAAAGTTCGCAAGACTGCTGCAGTGCGACACTCGTTGTGTTCCCCATGTGGCCTTCATCGCACACACCTTGAACTCATTTGTCCCAAGGTGACAGTATCTCTCGCACTTGCCGAGCGCGAATTTCACGAGCGGATAAGCAAATCCACTGACTTCTCAGATGTCGCAGCTCTGACACTCTAGTGCGCCCCTTCATGTGAAATGCTACAAACTTCTCAAGCACTCACCCGGTGCATCACCAATCGGGCCTCCTTTACTGTTGGCATCTGACCTCATGGGCGAGTTTTGTTGTAGCGATGCCACTGCTCTTTCTATTCTCACTAATGCAGCGAAATTTCATATGTCACTGACGTAGAGTAACGCCTTCCTACAAGCATTTCTATTATGCAGGGTCACCTAGAATGAACCACATTTTCTTTGATTAGTCTTCTTTGCTGCTTTTTACGGACCCCCCAATTTCTGCACACATCGCCGCAATTCCTACTGAGATGCCTCCATAAATGTTCGCAATCTTCGCGCACCAACCCGTCTCGCCCGCAGTGGTTTGGGGAATCTGACAAACAAATCTTGTTACTCGAGCCACGTGCGCATTATCCTTCCCATCCTTTGTAGAATAGAATGTAGGGAGCAGGAGCTGAAACATACGCCCGAACAGTGACGAGGAATACATGACGGGCCGCTTGTGTGAAAAAGTCTCAAACCCTTCCTTCCCACCATACGCCCCTATGCCTGACTCCCCGATACCCCCGATGAACGACCCGCGCCCACCTATTTGCAAAATAGTCTCGTTTATCCCAACCGACCCAGATATCGTGTTGGTAATAACCGTCTTCGTCACATCATCGTCGCGACTGAACAGGTACAGCGCTAACGGTCTTTCCCGTCCGTTAATGAAAGAGATCGCCTCATCTACGGACTTCACTTTCAGGATCGGCAAAACAGGGCCGAACAACTCTTCCTGCATAAGTGCGTCGTCGCCATTCGCAACCTCAACAACAGTGGGAGAAAAGTAATGACTCGCGCTATCGTCATAGTCGCCTCCCAGAATAATGCGGCCTTCACTTGCGTTCACAAGCCCAGCTATCCTTTCGACATGTCTCGAAGAAATAATCCGGCCGAAGTGTCTGCAGCTCTTCGGATCGTCTGTGTAAAATTCCCGCACCGTCGTCACGAGCTTTTTGACAAACTCTGCATAAACTTCTTCCTCGACGAGGCAGTAGTCCTGAAACAAAACAGAAGAACATCACAAAAGGAAGAAAAAAAAACATAAAAGTTAGTATTTTCATCTTCCATGGTCTCGTGTCGCAGTCATTTCTTCTTCCAAGTACCTGAAAAAGAAAAACTTACAGGTGCGAGACAGACCTGCCCAGCGTTGATAAAGTGGCCTTTTGCAATAGATGCAGCAGCAAGACGAACATCAGCCGACGCAGAAACGATAGCCGGCGATTTTCCGCCGAGCTCAAGGGTCACTGGAGTAAGATGCTTCGCAGCAGCAGCCATGACTATACGTCCTATATTTGCATTTCCAGTGTAAAGGATGTGATCCCACTTGAGCTCCAGCAGCTCAGTACAGCGTTGCGGACCACCAGTGACCACAGCGCAAATACGAGGGTCGAGGACAGATGTAAGGCGTTGCAGATAGCGTTCTGAGGCTGTGGCGTGCTCCGAAGGCTTGAGACACACTACGTTGCCGGCTGCGATTGCATCAATGACCGGCCTCACCCCAAGCATGATGTTGAAGTTGAAGGCCGAAAAGATAAGGACGAGGCCCTTTGGTTGCCTGTGTACGTAGACTGGAGCCCCAAAGTCACGAGATGCGAAAGTCGGCTTCGCGAGGGTGGATAAGTGGCGCATAAAGTAGTTGAGGTCGCTGTAGATCGGAGAGAGGTCGTACCCGACCGCCTCCACCTCCTTCTTGTGTACATCTGCGTTAAGCGCGGCAAGCAGATCGCTCTCCGTAGATTGAAGGAAAGCCCGCAGCTTGCGTAGCTCTGAAAGACGAAAGTCAACAGAGAATGTGTCACGAGACGCGAAGCCATTCTGCAGACGCTCATAGACTTGATTCAGAGACTCAGAGTCTGTCATCACGAAGAGGTAAAAAATAAAACCCTTGACAAGCTGTAGGGTAGACGAGGAGGTGTGGGAAAGACGGTGCTGGGAAAGATTGAGATCTCGCAGGAGCCTGAAGCTCTAGTGTCGGCTATTTGTAGCGGAGTCTAGCTCGGAACAGTCGTGCAAGGTCGTAGTACCATGCCGAACAATCAGTACTATATACAACGTCATACAGTGTCGTGCTGTAGACCAAGCGCGGGTACGACCAACTAAATCGGAATGAATTCAGCGGAGCCATAACGCTTCAGACACGCAATGTATCTCAAAAAGGGCACGTGAGGGAGAGGACCGGAGTAGGAATCCCGAAAAAGACCTGATTTGTTCACCATCCTGTATCCGCACAGTCTGAGGTGCGTCGTAAAAAAACCGCAGATGATGCCGAAGGTTCGTGTCAACACGAAGCAGATGTTGACACGAACCTTCGGCATCATCTGCGGTTTTTTCACACGAAGCAGATGTTGACACGAAGCTTCGGCATCATCTGAGTTTCTGCAATTCTGCCTGTCTTCAGGCAGAATTTTCTCAGAGCTCTTCTCTGAGGTCTGCCGTATTTTTGGCCAGTCTATGACTTGGAAATTAGCCGTCTGAAATGTTGATCATATGTAACATTAGCCAATTAAAACGCTCCATTTGTCCGGGTACAATTTTTGTAGTAACTTTGTAGTAACTACAAACTTTGTAACTACAGTACAAACTTTGTAGTTACCCTTGGTATGTCCTTGTAAACGAGTAGAATTGGAAATTGGCTCTATTTGCCTGATCCATACCTTTGTACTACAAAGGTATGGTAGTACAAAGGTATGGTAGTACAAAGGTATGGATCAGGCAAATAGAGCATCTGCACTTGAGTATCTGTCCTATAACAAGTAAATCAGAAACTACATTGTGGATGGGCGAAAGTGACAGAGATAACCGTGCCTTCGTCGCACATCGGCGAAGTTTGTTCAACTCTGGAGGAGAGCAGAGCGTGGCACGAGAGAGATACAGAGTGGGGGCAAGTGCTGGCAATCGTCCCGTAGATTGGTAGCTACCTGGGACAGCCGGCAATCCAAAAAGAGTCGTCGGCGAGGCTCATGGACGGGTACCAAATCGTTTCCCCGGAGACCTACTTCGATCCCCTTCTCCCGGGCCAGCCTTCGGTCCCGGCGCCCGCCGGCTATTTCCCGTGACCTAGTGCAATGAGCAAAATTGGAATACATACACCCATCGACAAACACAGCACGGTAATTCTCAACTTTCTTTTAAAAGAACCGCCTAGTCTAATGTACACTGCCACACCGCTCCACGATAGAAAAGCCTGTGCAGGTCAAATGGTGTGGAAAGTGGTGGGAGCGCGCTCACCGGAGGTATGACGGGCGCACGCTGGAAGAGGGGTAGGGTAATGCAGAACCCTGGGTACAGCAGTATGTCGTGTAGTGGACGTCCAGCAATGTGTCCTGCTGTTTTGTCATCGTTCGACACCGCTGGTGTCTTTGCAAACCGAATAATTTTCTTTGCCAACATTTAGCCTTTTCTTTTTCGGGTCAAGCATATTTTCATAATCGCTTAAGAGCTCTCTGTCCAGAAACACGGCTTTCATGACAAGGCAAAATCATCCAGGGCGCCGACTTTCTCAACACCACCCCATGCACGGCAACCTGGTGCTCATGTGTTTGACGACGCGGAGACACTTGTTGGGTTTGGAGAACCACTTTGTGTCTGATCTGCACATCAGCGCTCTCCTTTTCAGTCTTCTAGTCACACTGAAATGACTATTGAGACGTCTGACACTACCTCCAAAGCTACACTTCGTGCTGCGGCAAATGGCGTTTCCGCTCATCTCATATGGCAGGTCACTGCGCGCGTAGCGTCGTTTGCGATCAAGGCTATTGTTATCCGTGCATTGGGTCCCGCCCAGTTTGCTTTCGTGGAAATTCGATTGGGTTTGCTTGTGTCTCTCGCGCTACTGCCGGCTATTGGCGCATTCCGGAAAGTATGCCTGCGTGTACCAGATGAGCGCACCGCTGCATCTTTAGCTTATCTCTGCTCTTTTGTTACGGTGGTTGTGTCCGTACTGCTTGGGACTATCGCTTTTTACAATGACTCCATCAACGCAGCGTCTTGGGCAGTTGTTACTGCTTCTTTGGTGATACGTGCCTTTGGAGAACCCCCACTGGTGTTTGCGAGGAGACGAGAGCGGTACTATCAGTCTTCAAGAGCGCGAGCTGTTTCAACAATGGTTTCAGGAATCGGGCAAGCGCTAGTTGTTAGTTTTGTCTCAGATCCCCGCTGGGCGAAGCCGGCCAGTGCTAGTGGACATGTTTTTTACTCAGCTTCATTGGGAATTGCAATGTACTTCGCTACTGGACCACAGCGAATACCACTGCTTTCTTTCGGAGAAGTTCGGGCATTTTTGCGATGGGAGGACATACGGATGACGGGAGTTGTACTAGGACAGAGCTTGCTCAAGTTCATTCTGGAAAATGGCGAGGGAATCATTCTAGATGTTACTTGTCCAGCTACAGTGAAAGGGGCCTACAAACTTGCGGGCAATTTCGCTTCGATCATGGCTAGGTTTTTTAGCGAAGCATTAGAGGAACAGTCGTTTAACGTGTTTCATCGTTTGGCTCCTGCTTTTCGAAATTCAAAGCAATTGTTGAACACTGATCAGACTGGCCGCGAGGAAGAAATGAGGAGCACATGTCTATCGACGCTGAGCATGGCGCTCAAAGCGGCAATCGGAATTTCAGTTTTGATCGCTTTTGTTGGTCCTGCCTACTCATACTCCATTCTACGCCTGCTGTATGGCGAGGATTGGGCAGATCGTACTTCGGCGCCTGCCCTCCTGAATAGCTATTTCGTGTACCTTGTCTTTATGGCTGCGAATGGAGTAAGTGAAGCATTTGTATCTGCATCAGCGTCCACTGAGGAACTTAAACTTCAAACTAAGTTTACCACCCTACTCAGTATATGCTACGTCGCGGCCCTGTACGTTGCTGCGCTTCGCTTTCAAGCGACTGGCATAATTCTTGTCAATTGCGTGAACATGGCACTCCGAACAGCATACTCGGCATGGTATTTCCAAAAATTAACTGGGCGGTCGAGTTTGGAGTTCTTCCGATCGGCCCTTCTTCACCCAGGTGTCATTGTTTCTTTATTCGTGACGAGCCGCATATCTAAGATGAGCGAAAAGTTTTTCATCAGTGGTGAACCAAGTTTTTGGTCCGGCGTCAAAATGAGTTTATATGAACGGATCGCGTTGCACAGCTTTTCGGGGTTGTTTGCTGTGACAGTTTTCGCATGGTCAGTTATCAAATTTGAATCGAGTTTTATATCGCAGATGCGATCGCTCCGGTCTCATCAAGACTAGAACCAAACACGACTTCGAGTGCGGTTTGCACTTGTCATGAAGCCCGCCGATTGAGTGGTTTCTCTGGATGTTTCAGAGGAGGTCATGTTTTTTTCGAGCTTGCAGAAATTTCCTTGTCTGCCATGCGCATTGTGTCCGACGCAGGTGTCCTCATGAAGTCTTCTAATGCTACGTGCTTCAGATCAGTTGTTGGGTGTCTACCAAGTGTAGGTTGAGATGGAAGAACTCCGAAATGAAAGTCTAGCTCTGAGCGCTAAAGTTTACGACAGACTTTCTGTTTGTAGCAAGAGACGTAGGGTGTTAGCTGGCCGTTGTGCCGACTGGAACATGCCTACTACTGAAATTTCCACACTCGCACAGTTCGCATCAGGCCAGGTATTGCTAGGTCTTCAAATTGAGCATCAGGACGAGATCCATCTGGCATTGTCCGTTGGACCGAATCAAAGTTACAACACGCGCATGTAACCAGTGCCACTCTCTTTCGGAGTTTTGCGGATTGCTGTACATCGTTCACATCCCATTTAACACCGTCAAACTCAAGACATCCTAAGGCATCTGAGATGGAGCAGTGGCAATGCCACATCACAACTACGACCATTTCGACATTGTCCGGATGCGAGGAGACTGGAATAGTAACGTCTTGAACGCGCGATTTCATCGTTTGTAAATTTGAGACAGTCTCCCATCTTCCTCCGACTCTCATTGCAGGGTCGATACTGATGCAGCGCCAAGCAGAACGAAAGGCGAAAAGTGTTGCGGTGCGTGGCGTGCAGCCGTCTCCGACTGCAAGAAGTACCACATTTTTGTCTCGGAAGGATAAGATTCCATCCTTCTCGGAGTGAGAATCGCTGTGCGCGTGTAAGTAATGACGTACTGTTGAATAAGCACTCATGGATTCCGCGAGCTCCTGAATCGTGGGGTGATGATGAAGGGTTTACCATATACAAGTCTGGTGTTAGGGAGTGGAAAGAAAGTTGCGGAAACAGAGAACTTGGAGAAGGGCTACAAACTGGTCTAATTTGATCTATCTGTTGACGTACCTTGCCGTTGGGGAAAACCTTGGTTGAGACATGGTTGGCAGGCATTCATCGTCGTATGGTTAGGGGCATCACAAGGGTTAGTGGAATTGCTGATGCTTAAAGCTACAGCACCGCATCTGAAGACGACGAAAACTTGAGAAATGGTCGTACTCTTAGTCGAATGAGGTCCTCCGCACATCTGAGACCAACAAACTCATCCATATACCGAAAGCTAACATGTTGCAAGGGCTCTTCGGGTGTGGGATGCTCCGCTTCCCTAATAGCTTTCGCTTTTCGCTTCGCCCTAAGTATCTTCACAGTTGATGATGCTTGGGCATGTTGGCGACATCTTGTTCCGGTCTGCAACTTTTTGTTTTTCGTCTCTTCTTTTGGATCAATCTGCCGGGCGTCTGGAGAGATAATCGACAAAGAGCCGTTCCAGCGAGTAAGACAAGGGACCGCATAGGATATGGCGTACGGGCCGGCAGTCAAAGGAGGTCGAAGAACTCTGCCAAGAGCAGAGCGAAACTTGTCCTCAAGTTGTGGGCAGTCTTTGTCAATCTGGTTCGTGTCCTTGAGGTACAGTCGGTAAATGTCCCTGACGTCTGTGAACCGATTTGAACTAGGCTGAAACTTGTGCTGCTGTATTGTGGACCTGACATCGTCTCTAATCGAGGGATGCCTTCCTTCTCTTGAAGGAGACGGCATCGGGTTGTAACTCTGTGTCGATGGAGGTCCCATTTCGGCAGCTGTGACGAGGGCGAGTCGATAATTCACCATCAGAAAATGGCTACTAGAGATATTGTAGTCTCATTTGTAGTTGTGTGTGTGTACAGTAGTTGCGAATCAATGTTCGATTTTGTAGAAACTCAGGAAACGCCCGCGGTGAAACTGGGGGATGACATCGTCGGCGTTCCGTGCGTTTGCGACGGCCTCGTCAGAGCTACCCAAATAAGCACCCCATGTGTCTGTGAGGATACGTGTCTAATACGTGTAAGCACGGAAAATGAGGCTCTGCCCCCAGAGTTGTCCTTGAGTTGAAGTCAAGTGTCCTATAATTTTAGAGAGCGACGGCTACGTCAACAAATTCATCGAAAACCAAACATATATCTTACCTCTTGGCCTAGATGTGCGAGTGCGGTTGGAGAAAGGAGTCACGTCTTTGAAAGGCATACGCTCTTTTCTTCACAAAGAAAAAGAAATCAATTACATATTGCAAACTGTACAATTTATTCCTTCTACATGAATGGAGAATGACAAGGATGGTAAAGTATGGGCGCTGCGAAGTACGCTAAGGATATAAAACAAGTGACGTACATCGCTTTCAAAGCCTCAAGAAGTGAAGGTGCAGCATATCCAAATACTTTCAGATAGATGTCTGCAGCGGCATATACATAATTTCGGGGCATAGATAATCGAGCGGCCGCGTGTCACGAAGGGAAGGCATCAATATGATCAATCCTCATCCTCTTCCGACTCGTCAGAATCGTTGCCCATGCGGTTGATGCGAGAGCCCATGTAACTCACACCACGCGGAAGACCTTGCCCAGGCTGGTACCCGTCACCCAGAAACTCAACACGTGTGCGTCCGTACGCGTCACGCTCTAGATAGTCATCGCCGTCCAGACCCTCTCCTGGTTCTCCCCATGTGAAACCGGCAGCGCGAAGACAAAACACTGAAGACACACCGCCACGACGAGTGGTTAAACCAATCTTGGCCATATCAAGAGTTACAAACGCTTGCTTCATAGTGGAACCAGGGACTGGGACCATGTATAGTTTCCCCCCGGGTTTTGCGAATTTGAAAGCACTGGCAGAAGTTTGTACAAAGCCTAGGGGAATATGAGGACCACTTGGGTTGTAATGAAAAACTTCAAAACGAAGTCCGCGATTCTCGTCCATGCCATAGAGATGCTCAGCTCGTATTGAGGCTCCTTCAAACATTATTTCTTGATTACGCTGAACGAAAGGGTCAACAATTTCTGACCTATATACAGGAGTCCAGTCCTCGTCGGCTACACCGTTGAGAATTGCTCTATATATGACCTGCGAAAGGCAATAGAGGACGCGAGGAACAAAGAAGAGTGAGGATGAAAGAAATAGTTAGAATTGGCATTGAAGGTGACGGAACGAAGGAGGGTGTGATGTGTTGATAGTACGAGGACAACGATGAAAACAACTGACATAAAAAGCTTTCTTTGCCTTCTTCCCCGGGATGGGACCCCATGCGTGGGAGTTGAAGGCGAAACCAAACCGGATAGAAAACATATGTTTGGTATCGCGAACGGTAACCTTTTCGCCACAAATAATGAGGCGGCCTCTCTTGCCATCATTCTTGCCATGCTTATTCCTAAGAACGCGTTCAATGATACCGTCCTGCTTGCCAAGAACCCTATCCAATGTGAAATCGGCATAGCCCAAAACGGAATTCTTTCGCAATTCATCGCTACGCGAAGTCTTGGAGTAGACGACTAGGCGATATTCCGCGCGAGAGGCTGCTGCGGGGTCGTGCTCAGGAAAGGGAATTTCGAAGCTCTGGACGAAAGCCGGGGAGGAGTCGGACCAGACAATCTCTGTGCGGGCGAGCTCTGTGGCCGGAGAGCGAGGATCGGAAGAGTCTGGGCGCATGAGGACAGCGAAGGGATCGATGCGACGACCTTTTAGGTCGATGGCGGCCACTTTGAGCTCGACGTATGTGCGCGACGAGCCTGAGGCCATGGTAAGGGGGG